TAGTTAGTTTGTTCCCAGTTTAGTTTAGTCATTGCTCCGTTCGCCGTTTGTCCATTTCCTTTTTGTGTTTAATAAACCACCCTCACACCCATACAAGTGCCTGCGTTTGGATCCTCCTTTATTTTCCACACGGCTCATCTCACTCGCCGTGACACTATACACTTCTTGGGGTTTGGTGAAATGATGAAATTTCCGCTTGATTTTCATTGGAAGGTTGACTGAGTTTCATTAATACATTACATGTGCTTTATGATCAAAGCCTGAAAGATGAAACTGACTTGTCGGGATCAGCTAAACACTTTTGAATTAAATGCATATTCAGACCTGTTAAACAACAACTGGCCAAAAAGGACTCCACAGCAGAAAAGGAAGGAATCCCCAACTCACTCAGAACGGGGCTGTTCATAAAAGGTGATTGAACAAAAACATGAAATTAAACTAAATGAGCAGAAAGAAGTATCATGTCGCAATTGTGAGGGGTACCCAGCAGTACTAGTGTGCACCAGTGTGAACAACAGTGCTTGGCATCCAGCACCTGAAACCAGTAAACTCTGCTGGGACTATGTCTCTGCCCTGAGATTGGAGAGCACTGAATGGAACATAAAGGTGCAAAAGGTCAGAGAGATATGAAGGCGCCAGACCATTTAAAGTCTTGTAGGTGAGCAACAGGATCTTAAAATCTGCTCGAACCCTACAAGGCAACTAGTGAAGAGATTTCAGTACTAGAGTAATATGTTCGTATTTCCCTATTTTGGTTAAAATGCAGGCAGCCACATTTTGTACAAAACTTTTCTTCGTCAACCCAGAGAGGAGACCATTACAATAATCAATACGCGAAGACAAGTGAACATTTTGTGGTCCAATGACCATCAAATCTGTCTTATCAGCATTAAGAAGCTGAAAATTATCAGATAACCAAATCAAAGATCTTGGACAACAAAGATAGATGTGACATGCGTCTATAGTTTGCAACTGAGTCAACTGAGTCCAGGCTTTCTCACGATTGTACCACCACTGCTGATTTAAAACAGGCTGATGTGACTCCAGCCGTCAATGAAGTGTTATGGAAAGTGCTCTATCTGTCTGTGGTTCTAAGTTGTGGTGATGGTGCAGTTTCAGAGCACTTTTTTTCACTTTCTTCAGATCCCCAGAGAAGTGTTGTATGGCAGTCACAGTCCAGTCCACACCTTGTCATCATCCAGTCGTGGCACCCTCCAAAGCCTGCAAGGTTCCATGTCTCCACCCATGGCCCGGTCTATGCCCTCCTCCCCTTCCAGGGTGGCATATGGTGGAGGGGGCAGTGGGGGAGTGCGGGACCCCAGCACTACATCAGCACAGACACTTCGCCTTTCGGGAGCAGGACGATCCAGTGCCATATGCACCAGCAGTGCCATCCTGGAGAGGAGAGATGTCAAGCCTGGTGAGATTCCTCCAGCAGGAATGTGCTTTTTAGCTGATTCCTACTGAACAATGAGTCACTACTGCAAGTGTTTTTCCCCCCCTTTGCTGTGACATAACGGAAGAAGTTATGGGCTGTGATTAGTTGTAATGATGTAAGCCATCTCCCATTA